CTTTCCCAGCGCTAACATCTATACAGCAGAGTGGGATCCTCTGTGGCTTCAAAAATGGTCTGTAGCTTTCTACTAACTTTTTTCTATAAAAAGAATATTTCAGATTTAACCGTGTTTCTTAGAGTTGGTGCTAACACATTCCCACAAGTACCTAAGCAAGTCCATGAATTGAACATATTAGTTTGGAGAAAAGGGAAACGGAGAGAAGAGAGGATTAGTAAAGAAATTTTTCCTTTCTTGGGAAATGGAAGATGAGAGAAAGAAACCGGGAAGGGATGAGGAGGCGGAGGGGGAGGAGGAAGCAGCACAGCAGACGGACAAAGGACAGAATGAAAGAGAAAGGGGACATAGATGTTGGTGTTTTACACTGCGCCTGCATCAGGCATTGACAGTTCCAAGACCTAACACTTCAATTGTGGCCCCTAACCTCACAACTCTGTTTTTTCCAGAAACCGCAGGCCCCAGGAACTCATATGCAGGTCCAGCCTTTCATCTTCCTATAGAAGGTGATTCTTGGGCTGGGGACCTGTGCTGGGGGAGGGGCGGAGGGGTGTTATAAAGTTAGTAAGGTGAGACCTAACACTTAACTAAACTCAGTTGGAGGCCAGAGTGGCCACTGGAGGACCCAAAGCAGGGTCTCAAAGACACAGGCCAGGGGCCCTGCACCCTCCCCACTGGGTTAGCCCAAGTGAGTTGGCACCAGCGGCCAAGGCAGCCATGAATGTGAGCTTGGAGAGATGCAGTGGACAAATTATTAGGCTGTTTCCCTCATGTCAGTGTTTGTATATAATCGCCTGGGAAAATATGCTCACAGGTCATAATAGCAAATTGCCTGACTTTTGTCACCAAAAAGTAGAGCGGGGGTGGGGAGGTCTTATTGTAAGGTCGTTATAGGGATTAAATGAAATGATTCACGTTAAGCACTAAGCACACAGCCTAGAATACAGTAGGGGAGGTGCCAATGCTAGCCATCATTATAATAGAAGGAGTAGCTCGATTTGGCTATTATTTGATTTCTTCCAAGGAGCTTCCGAACTTATTCTTCAGTCAGAATTCTTTCGGTGCCAAGATGCTTGAACCTTGCGAGAACTCACTGTTCCAGACCCATCTGTCCGATATAGCAGCCACTGGCCACACACGGCTCTTGAGTTCTTGGGATGAGGCTCGTTCATACTGAGAGGGGCAATAAGTGCAAAAACACATCCAATTTTGAAGATATAGTACAACAAATATGAATAACATACCTCATTAATAATTTCTATGTTGATTACAACTTGAGAGGGTAATACTTCAAACATTGGGTTCAATATATTATCAAACTTAATTCTACCAGTTTATTTCTTACTTTTATAATATGGCAATCAGAAAATTTTAAATTATATATGTGGCTCACATATTTCTATCAGGCAAGGCTATCTAGATCCTAAACTACAAAATGAATGCTGGAAAATGGTCCCAAGCTTTACACAAAGGTTTTTGAAACTTGACATTAAATTGCCCCATGGAGAAAAGTAAGAAGGAGTTTCCCTGGACTCATACCCAGCACCTTCAGAAAGTTTAAAATAAACAATAAGAGAAGAGTTTTTTCTAGCCCAGCTCCCTCCTTATACAGATGAGAAAACCGCTTGTTTCAGATTTTCCAGCTGCTAAGAGGCTGAGCCTGTATATCCTGAGAGTTTGCTATTAATTCCTTTTTACCATTCTATTTCCTTCTAGTCTATTACCCTCTGGAAAGTATTCTCAACACTTGTTCTTTTATGTGTGGGCATAGAAGTTAGGACTCTGTAAGTCATAATTATATAACTGTCCAGGAATAAATATACTAGGACTCAAACCTATAAGATATGAAATACTTTGTAGAGATAGACCTCATATAGTTATAACACTCACAGTTACTTGATATGACCTATGATGTAGGGATTTGGAAGTAGGAAAGCTACTGCCGCATGGCCACTGCAATGCTAGTAATAGTGAAGAATATAAAGGTTATGAGGTAAGCCACAGTTTTGCCATTAGTGCTCTTACAATCTAATAGGACAGTCAGGTGATACACAGACTGAGACAGCCCCATAAAACAACAGCATCAGATGGGAGAATGGTTTGGGGAAGTGCAAAATGTGTACCGACTGATATTCCGTGGACCTGAACCTCAATTTACTGCTTCATTCAGTAAGTACTGAATGCCTAAAATATGCCAGGCACTGTTTTATATGCTGGAGATACAGCACAGATAAAACTCTCTGTATTCCTGAAGTTATAGTCTAGCTGGCAGAAAAATAATAAACAAGATTAATACATAAAATATATCATCTTAGAGGATGATATGAGCTAAAGAGAAAATTAGAGCAGAGAAAGAGGGAGGAAATTGTTAGAGAACTGTTGTTAAGTTTAGATAGGTCATCAGGAAAGGCGTCACTGAGGAGGAGACATTAAGGTGAAGATGTCAGTGCAGAGAGGAAGCAAGTCCTGTGGATAAGTGGATAAGAACATGTGAGGCATTAGGAACAGTAAATGCAAAGGCCTGAGGTGGGTGTGTTCCTGGGGTGTTCACAACACAGGGTGACAGGGAGGAGGGGGCAGGTCGTGTGGGGTCTCATGGGTCACAGGGAGAATTTCTTTTACTACAAGTGAGATAAAGGTTGGCAGATTTGAGCAGAAGAATAATTCCACCTAATTTATGTATAACCGGATTTCCCTAGGTGCCCTGATGAGAACGAAATGTCAGGGATGAGACGGAAGCAGGTGCGGCACTAGGAGCCCTGGGTAGGAGCTCATCAGGATCATCCAAGCTAGAGGAGATGCTCCTTTGTGAGTAGGACTAACAGGACATGCTGACATATGGATGTGGAAAAGAGAGGGAAGACAAGGGTGGATCCAGGATTTCTGGCCTGAGGAATTATAAGGACAGTGTTACTTGAATGAAATAAGGAAGCTTACAGAAGGTGCAGGTTTGGGAGAAAAGACTAGGAGCTCAATCTTGATCCATCTAGAACTAATTTCTATATATATAGGAAGTCATGTAGGGGTCAACATTTTTTCTTTTCTATATGGATAGCCAGTTGTTCCCACATTATTTATTTTTAAAGACTTTCCTTTCCCCACTTAGCTTGCTTTGGAACATTTGTTGAAAATCAGTTATAAGGTTGGGTCTATTTCTGGGCTCTTTATGCCATTCCATGATCTATTTTCCATCCTTATACCAATAGACACTACCTTGATTAATGAAGTTTTAACAGTCTTCCTTGGGACCTGTTAATATGGAGATGTCTATTAAACAATGAAGCAGAAATGGTAGGTGGACAGCTGAATATAGAGCCTGGAATTTGGAAGACTGAGGTCAGTTCAAGAAATATAAATGTAATGTCATCACCATACAGATGGTTAAAAGCCATCAGACTGCGAGACTACCTACCAAGTGCTCATGGATAGAGAAATCCAAGCGCTGAGCAGGAGGCACCCCAACATTAAGAAGCTGGTGAGATGAGGAGGAACCAGAAAAGAAGACTGAAAAGGACCAAAGAAGAATGAAAATCAGGAAGTGTCTTGTTGTCCTGGAATCCAAGAGAAAAAACATTACAAGAGAGAAGTGCTACCAGAAAGCAACTGATCAGGTGTCAACTGTGTCAACTGGAATGAAAATAAACCATTGGACTTAGTGATTGGGGGTCTTCAGCGAATGACACGAGAGCGGTTGCTATAGAATGGCAGGGGCAGAAGTCTCATCAAAAAGGGTTCAAAAGAAAATGGGAGGAAAGAAACTGGAGAGAGTGTGTATGGGAAATTCTTTGAAGGTAAGAGTTGGAAAAAGGAAGGAGAGATGTATCTGGAAGGAGAAATGACAGCATTTCTGAATGCTAATGAGAACAGCCCAGTAAAGAGGAAAAGTCAGGGCTGCAGGAGAGAGAAGAGAAAGATGCTGGAGGGATGTCCTGGGGTAGGTGAGACATGGTGGGTGGAGCACAGGTGGAGGTGGGACCCCCGCTAGGAACATGCATGGCTCACCCGGCAACAGAAGACAAGGGCGTGTCCACTGGCACCATGCAGAGCCCCATGGATGTGCTGAGAATCGTTCGTGACTTCTCCATTAAGTGCACACCACTTAGATTGTGCAGGTTTAGAAGTTCAAGAAGACTTTGTAGATTGAAGTAAGCAAGTAAGGGCTGTCGGCAGGGGGAAGCTAAGGAAAGGAGGCAGAACAAGAAGGAAATTCACAAGGGAGTCCCCCCCTTACCAACAGCTCATTCCTCTCCCCTTGGCTCAGCCTACCAAATCCTCTCCTGAATTCTCCTTAGAGGCCACTGGCATGGAAAAGACCCCCACAGCCCCCAGACATCCCCTGCTGCTCAGAAAACCCAGGTTTTCCTTATTCCTCCCCACACCCTGCCTGTCACTATCCCTCCCCTCCTTCCCATTCCGTCACGGTGTTCCCTTCCCATTCTCAGATTCATAAGGCCCTGCCTTCCTCCTCCCTGTCTTCTTCCTCTCTCTTATCTCCCCCTTTAGTCCCTCTCCACCTTTCTACCCTTCCAATCTCTTCTCAGGACTTGAATAACCCTTACAACCCCTACCATGTAGTTACTTATCTCTCATGAGAAGGTTTTATCTCCTCACTCTGGCTGAAACCTATTGTATCCTGAAGCCAGCAAGGTTCTCTGCATAGAATAACTAAAGGGACAATGGTGAGGACAGGGACATGCAGTGGGGAGGCAGAAGACAGGGGCTGACATTTGATAGTACTGTCCCTGTACAGCCACCTTTGTTCTCACACCACACACAGCAGCCGTTCTTGCCTTGTGGATGAAGAAACTGAAGCTAAGAAAGGTTATGTAACATGCTTAGGATTACAGAGCTCACAAGAGGCAGAAGCTTGACTTGAACCAGGGTTATTAAGCCCAAACCACCATGCCTTTCTCACCATTTTGCACATGGCAGATTCTATGAAGATTTTCAGTAATATGGGTTTATAATTCTAATGGTTAGGCCTCAATCACATCATCTAAAATTAACAAAAAGGTTGGACTGGATGGTGAATAAGTGTCTTCCTTCTCTATGTGTTGCTTTTCCAAGAAAATTTACAAGATTTTATTTCACAGTGAGCTCAAGGAGCAAATGAGGAGCAGCCTCCAATCTATGATATGGTAATAAAATTTTGATGGTCAATGTTGGGAACAAAAAATACACAGAGAAGACCTTCGGTAATAATGCTGGTGGCTCAACATACACCAAGTTGTATAGGATTTTTATTCTATACAGTATTAGTAATGGATGTGATATCACTACACTGACAGAGCTCATGTCACTGAATCTTCCAACCCCATGGGTAAACTGTATTTTAAGGAAACTAAGAGTAAATACTGTGTCCTAGGTCATACGATCAATAGCTACAAAAATCAGGTTTCAAGCTTAAGCAGCTTGATCAAGGGCCCTCACTCTACAACAGAATGCTGTCCCTTAAGACCTAGTATTCATGGTTGCCAATTTCAGGGGCAAAGAGTCATTGAATCTCAGCTCTCATTGACTCCAATCTCTCATTAACAGATAAGGAGACTAAAGAGCAGAGATGGACACCATGGCCTGGTCACTTAGAGACAGAGATTCGAGGCCAGAGTTCCTTCTACCTGTTACATTTTTACTAGATGCAGCCATGAGCTAATTGCAGACATCTCTGAGGAGGATTCTTGACCTACAGCAAAAATAGAGAGTCAGCTAAGCCTAAGACAGCCAGGAGTTCTTCATGCTGACCCCAACCTCTTCCACCAACATGGTGTGCAGGCCGAACCAGGCCCAGGCCATCCCCAGGTCATCCCCACCCCTGTCTAGTTATTTCCAAATTTCATGGTGACTGGCCCAAAGGTTAAAAAGTAACGCCACCTTTTGAGGGTGAGTCCCAGGGACCAAGATAGCAACTGTCATAGCAACAGTCACACTGCTTTGGCCAAGGAGGCCTTTTTGGGGAACTGAAAACAGAACCCTGAGCACATCTGCTGGTTTCAGTCACATCCTACTCCAGGCCTGGGTGGCACACCCAACACCCTTTCAGTGGTTCCCAAGGCCCTGGCACCTGCAGCCCTCACAGCACCTGGCCACGTCAGTGTCCAGCCCTGAGGTGGAAGTAACAGTGCCCCTGCCCTTGTTTGACAGCATTCCTCCAAGTCCCACTGCCCCCCTCGCCAATCCTACGGCTCTCCCAGTGGAAAGCCTCAGCCCAGCATGTCACAGCCCTCTAAGAGGTCTGATGTGGTAACAGCACCCATGCAGACTGCATGAGACAAAGCTGTGAGCCAGCATGTTCTTCATGAGGCCCATGGAGGTCCTGGAAATATTTGAGAGCAGGAAGAAACAATTCTTGCTGAGAAGTTTGGCAATTTCATGAATAGGAGGCTGGGAAGGAGAGTGACGAGTCCCAGTAACATGTCAGAACCCAGTTCAGTGGACTTCCTAGCAGCCTTGACATAAGCATTCTCTTCTCCTCTATTCCCCCTTCCATCCATGAACGTAGCCACCCACACTTCCATTCACCCATCCATTGGTCCTTACACAAGTCACAGGGTGAGTTGTTTGCTCTTCTATACCAAGCAACCTTAACTATTATAGCCAAAAGTTTGTTGTATGATGGAATGTATGGATATCCACTGTCATTCATCCCACAGACCTTGATTAGCATCTTCATGTACCTGGCTCTGTATTATGTTCTGCAGATAACACAGTGAACAAGATAGAGCTCTCAGTCTCAAGGAGGTCCCAGCCTAGTGTGGAAGCAAGTTAGCAGAAATTGCAACACAGAATAATGAGATGGAGGCCAGGGTATCTAGAGAGCCCCATGAAACCACAAAGAAGAGGCACATAAGACACACTGCATGTCAGGGAGGATGCATACATTCATTCACTGTCCTCAGTATAAATACTAGCCAGCCTGGGCTCCCCTGACACCAAGGGTGTCCTCATAAATTATGCCAGTGCTCCAGCCTTCTAACTGGGAAGCCATAGGTTGATGAGCTCTGACATGGGGACTCACCTCTTATAAACTGACTCCCTCTTCATATTAAGTTGTCTACAGTAAGACAATAGTATATTGATAAAACCTGTCTTAGTGTCCCTGTGAACATTAAATACAATATTGTATATATCCACTTAGTATAGGGTATATCATAGAGGATGTGCTCAATCCATGATCTTTTCTTATTCTTAATTATTAAGGGGCTCTTGGATTCCATGACTACATTCAATGGATTTTCTTCCTGCAGTGATTCCACAAGGAAGCCTTCTTAAATTTGGTCTGAAACCTTCACTTTCTCCAATTTGCAATTATATATCATGATCCTTCTGCTCCTCTTTATCTGTCTGATATGTAAAGGCAAGAAAAATCTCTTAATATTAAAGATGGAGAAACTGAGGCACAAAGTGAAGGTACTATTTGTTGATGCAATACCTCACCCACAGGCCTAAGAACTGAGTTCCATTCAGCGTATTTCCCTCCAGCCCATCCTACCTGGCACCACAATGGAACATAAAAATGCTGCAGGATTAAGGTTGAGGGTGTATTTCCCAAAAGACCAATATTTCATACTGGGAAGAAAAAAAAAGACACGTGCTTCTGCCTAGACTGTTTCTCAGCCCTGCTGCCTCTCCCCACCCTCCACCTCGGTTTTTAGTATACACTGTTGCTCAGAAGTACAGTAACCCATAACTATTATGTAAGAAAACAATACTTCTTCCAATTAGTATATTCTGTAGTGTTTATAAGTAAGGTTTAACGAGTTCCTTTTCACTTGTTCTAATTTGTTATACTAGGACAGTCGAAGAGTAAGACGACCCGTCCCTGCAGGTCACTGCTGGCAAGTGGACTCCAAGGGCAGCAGGTCCAGGAAGACCCGGACCATCAATCAGATTCAGCGGGGCTGCTCCAGGCAGGGGATGGTGTGGGGCAGAAGGAGCCACAGGCTTGACATCAGAGGGCAGGTATCTGAGAGTGGACGGTTGCAAACAGCCTTTTCACCCATGTTGTCATGACACCCCCCAGGATAACAACACACAAATAGCTTGTTAAATGTAACACTGGCAAACGTGTTAACTTCACAACTATGACTAGCAATTTACCTGCAGGTATGCATGAAAATCAGTGACATTGATTCTGTTTCCAACTGACCTAAAAAAATCCCACCTCCCCCAAAAGATCACCTGTGATAGAGAAACTCTAGTGATATCATCCAGAATCTACCCTTGATTCCCCACCTCCCTGTCATTACTGCGTACCATCCATCATGTAAGTATTTGATTTGTGAAAGCCCCATGTATCTCTCCCATCAATAAAGAAACTTCTAAAACCAGGGACTTTTGTCCCTTATAAAGAATCATGAAAACTGTGCACTAAACATTCGAGAA